TCACCTTTTCCTTGATCATTCCTTCATTTGTTCTAAATACTGCTGTCTGTACTCTTAACCCTAGAGAAGCAATTTCAGAAAGCACTGCTTACTTTCAAATGAGTTCCTTACTAGATTCCAAATGGAACTAACACTGCATTACGTAATAAATGTGCTTTTTGTTGTTGTTGTTATAAGTAAGAAATGTGCTGGGCACGGTGGCGCACGCCTGTAATCCCAGTGACTCCAGAGGCTGAGGCAGGAGGATTCCTAGTTCAAAGCCAGACTCAGCCATTTAGGGAGGCCCTGAGCAATTCGCTGAGACTCTGTCTCTAATAAAATATATGTTTGATGTGTCAGAGTGCATTCTACTGTCATGTATAACTAGTTAGAACAAATAAAATGATCTAAAAATAAAATGAACAATAAAAAAGGGGGGGCTGGGATGTGGCCCAGTGGTTAGTGCCTCTGAGTTCAATTCCTGTTACCAAGAAAAAAAAATTGTTATTAAATCAGTATTTCAGGGGGCTGGGGATATAGCTTAGTTGGTAGAGTGCTTGCCTTGCATGCACAAGATCCTGGGTTCAACCCCCAGCATCACCAAAAAAAAAAAAATTAGTATTTCATAGGCCATTTTTACTCAAGTTCACAATAGTAGAAAAACATATCTAACATCATGCATACTATATAAAGATGATAATGAAAAGATTTGAAGGTTTAAGTCAGGCAGGATTGATTTTATCTGATTTATTTATTTATTTATTAAAGATTTACTTTTTAGTTGTGGTTGGACACAATACCTTTATTTTATTTATTTATTTTTATGTGGTACTGAGGATGGAACCCAGGGTCTCTTACATGCTAGGTCAGCACTCTACTGCTAAGCCCCAACCCCAGTCCTGATTTTACCATATTTAAAATGTTCTTATATTGAAATATTTCAAGGGCTGGGATATAGCTCAGTTGGTAGAGTGCTTACATGCACAAGGTCCTGGGTTCAATCTCCAGCAAGTTACAAAAATAATCTTAAAATCTTGACCTATGTTAAATCTAAATACTTTGTGCCCCACCCCGAGATTGAACCCAGGACTTCTGCTCTACGACTGACAGGCACCCCCACTGCCATATATTCTTGGGCACATGTGAAGGAGGTGATAAGAGTTATGAATATGTACATCTCCAAGCAAACTATGATTTCACCCTTTGACTAACACGTGTACAGTGTAATAAACCAGATGTTTTTTTCACTTCTTTATAATTTTATTCCATATGAAGGTTTAACAAATAAAACTCACTGTGCTTTTAAATTTCATATGAATGTTATCGTACCATCTTTCCATGAATATTTAGATTTATCTATGTTGGCACATTTAGATCAAGTTAGTTTGTTGTTTTTTTTTTTTTTTTTGGTGATGCTGAGGATCAACTCAAACTCCTTTTAAATGGCAAGTGATTGCTCTACTGCTGAGCCCCAGCCCTGCCCAAATTGATTTATCTTGATTATTGTAAAAATTTTTTATGAGTATGCCACAATTTATCCACTTTACTGTTAGTAGATATTTAGATGGTTCCTAAGTATTCACTGTTGCAAATGGTGTTAGAATTGGTAAGTCTTGTAATTGCTTCCTTGGGCACACATGTGTGAGAGTTGCTAAGAATTATGAACATGCACATACATTGCTGTCCAAAGTGGCTGATTCAATCTATGGTCCTGCCAGCAGCTCATGAATTTCTTCTGTTCCACATCTACGCCAGTGTTTGATGACATCGTCAGACTTTCTGGTAGAATGAAATGCTAGTTCAGTTTGGTTGTCATTGGCCTTTCTCTGATTATGAGTCAATCTGAGCATTTTAATTTTGTGTTAATTGAATTTCTTTTTCTGCAATTCGCCTGCTCATATCCTTTGTCAATTTTGCTTTTCTGTCATCTTTATTCTACAGAGAATTTTCCTTTGTAGATTTTGTGAGGTAGGTGTCTAATTTTAATTCCCATATAATTAATCATTTTTTTCTGGCTCTGATTATTGACAAGTTTCTCCTTTCCCTGCTGATTTTAATGTTGTATGCAGGTTTCGTGTATGAAAGGTCCTATTTTTCGATACTTTATTTAGTGCTGTTGATGCACTTCCCTGCATTAATGCCACAGCCATAGTTTCATAGCTTTCTAATAAGTGATCTTTTTTTGGTACAGAAAACATTTTTTCCTTTTTCTTTTTCTTCAAAATCATCTTTTTATATCAAATTTAGAATCCACTTACCAAAACTCTGCAGAGATTTTGGCTGGAAGTTTGAATTCAAGGTTAATTGGGAGAATAAGGTACATTTTTATAATATTGGATCTTCCAGTGAACAAGGTATATTTCTGCAATGATGTGGTCTCCTTTCATTTCTTCCTGTTAGTTTCAGAATTTTTTTCTAAAACATTTTATGACATGTTTTGTTAGATTCACTCCTAAGAATTTTAAGGATTTATTTATATGTTTTTGAGATGGGGTCTCACTATGTTGCCCAGCCTGGTCTCAAACCCCTGGACTCAAGTGTTCTTCCTGTCTCAGCCTTCCAAATGCTGGGGCTACGGGCCTGTGCTACCATGCCTACCTATGGATTTCAATACTGCTATATTGGTGTATATAGAAATACAACTCAGCTGGGCGTGGTGGTACACACCTGTAATTACAGCAACTCAGGAGGCTGAGGAAGGAAAATCACAAGTTTGAGCCAGCCTCAGCAACTTAGCAGGATCTTGTCTCAAAATAAAAAAATAAAAAGGGCTGGGAATGTTGCTCAGTGGTAAAGTACCTCTGGGTTCAATCCCAATACCAAAAAGAAAAAAAAAAAAGGAAAAAATTTAGCTCAGTTTTGAAAAACTCTATTATTAATTCTAATAATTCATTGATTTTCTGGATTTTCTATGATAATTTTGGTAATTGGAGATTGTTAGTTTATTTTCTGTCTTTCTAAATTTTGTACCCTTCTTTCCTTCCTTCCTTCCTCTCTGCATCTCTGTGTCTGTTTCTCTCTCTCTCTCTCTCTCTCTCTCTCTGACTCAAACTTCCTGTATGCTGATGAAAATAAGTTGAGAAAATAGGTTTTCATGGATTGATTGTTCTTGACTGAGAGAAGTACTTCTAACAACTCACAGTTGGGTATCCTGTTTATACAGAGTTTTGGGAGCAACCTTTGTCAGATTAAGGAAGTTGCTTTTTATTCCAAGAATTTCTGTTTTGCTTTAACCATGCATGGATATTATCAATTCTGGCATGAGCTACATCCATATATTTTTATTTCTTTTCATACTTGAGATTACCTCTAAACTTCCTTTCTTTGTCTGATTGTGGCATAAAGATTATACTGATTTCATACATTGTGTTGAAAAACATTCTTTTTCTATTATCTAGAACAGAATATATAAAAAAGGGTCATCTCTTCGTTGAAGGTTTGCTAGAACTTTTCTGTGAAACTATCTAGACCTGAGAGTGTTTTTGTAGGAAGAATTTTAACCTTTGAGTTTATTTATTTAAAGATCAAATATCTATTAAGGCATTCTATTTCTCTTGAATCAGTTTAGATCATAGTTATTTTCTAGGAATTTTTTCCATTTCATGTACATTTTAGATGTATTGATGTGAACTTACTCCTAGAATTTTGGCATTACTTGTTTCTGCTTTATGTGTATTTATGTCTCCTTTCTCCTCCTCAATATTGCTTTTTTGTGCTTTTTTTCTCTTATTTTCTGCTTGGCCTTGCCAGAAGTGTGTCTATCTTGTTAATCTTTAAAAAAATTTTTTTTGTGTGTGTTTGTGTGTATCTGTGTTTCTCTCTTTGTTTCTCCCATATCTTTTTTCATTAATTTTGTTAGTGAGTCTATGTTAATTGCATCCTAGAAAGAGATCATCCTATGTTTGATTATTGATTCTTTGATATTTGTTGAGATTTTTATTGTGGCCTCCTCTGTGATCTACTTCGTAAAGTTTCCATGTGTTTTTGGAAAAAATGGAATTAAAAAAATACATATTTTTTTTAGTTGTAGATAGACACGATATTTTATTTATTTATGTGGTGCTGAGGATCGAACTCAATGCCTTACACATGCTAGGCAAATGTGCTACCACTGAGCTATAATCCCAGCCCAAGAAAATGGAATTTAATTATGTTTGGCAAGGTTCTGTACGTGCCTATTTGTAAAAGTGTTGTTTTTCAAGCACCTATGACTAATTTTTGTCTACTTTGTATTTTGGTTATTGGGAGAGATATTACAATTTCCTTTTTGCTTGTTGATTTGTCATTCTCCTCATAGTTTGAACAATTTTGTTTTTTATATTCTGAGGCTGTGATATTGATACATGTAAGTTTAATATCATTAAATATTTCTGGAAATTTTTCTTTTTATCATTGGATAGTTACCCACCTTGCTTTTTGTCTTAAGTGTGGAAATTTATTTTTATTATCATCTACCTAGCATATCTTTTCCAATCTTGTACTGTTTTGCGTTCATAAAATGGTTGTAAGTTCCTTTCTTATTCAAGAGAGACAGATTGTCTAGAGACTCCTTCTTTTCCACATTTGATAGCTCCACAAGAAGATAGCTCAGTAAATCTGAGTAGTTCAATGGAAAGACTGACTGATACTAGCTTCTCAATATTGCCAGGCACCCCTTTCTAATTAATCTGTTTCCGCAATCAAGAAGCTCTTGGCTGGGGAATGTGGCTTAGTTGTGGCTTAGAGTGCCCCTTATGCAGTTGAGGGGGAGAAATAAAGTTTTTGTCTTTGTCAATGCTTTATTAATCACTCAATATACTTTTACTTTATAGGTTCTTAATCAAGAAAATGACAATCTTTAATGCTAAGCACTGCAATAGACATCATCAATTCACAGCAAACAATTCTAGATTAATTCTAAGCACTGCAAGTACACTTAATCATGATAGGCTCATGATAGACATTCCCTCTGCATTCTAAGTTCAAATGTCAGATCAAAAGTCTCAAGCCTTAGGCTTTAAGTCCAGCAGATGCACACTCACTCAGACTGCGGTGATCAGGTCCGGAGCCAAGGCAGGCTTCTCCAGGGGTGGAACTGACCGCCAGTTGAGGAGAGGGTCGTAGAGAGAAGTTGCGGCTTCAGAAGGGTCAAGACGTGTGTAGAGTTTGAGAGCGGTGAGGAAAATGCAGAAAGCAGGCAAAAAGAGGAAAAGTGTTGCAATGTCAGTCCAGGTCCTCATCAGGCTCTCAGCATGAGGATATCAGTATTGGCTGGCTGAATGTCCGTTCATTTGCTCCACTATTTATACCAAATTTGGGGGCTTTTTGACACCCACCCCCCACCTTCAACCCTTATCAGCTGCCAACAGGTCTCTTAGTGACATCGTTTACCCTAGGGTTAAAACATCTGGTCTGGTGGTCCCACCCTGATCTTTTCGCCTTTCCCCCTTATCAGGGTGAGGACAGCAAGCCAGAGGCTTCACTCTGAGTTATCAGGGTGGGAAGAAGTGACTTGCTTGTGCCTGAGGGCCATACTGGGGGGCCCTGTTAGTGCCAGGTGAGACTGCAGGTTTCAATCTGGATTTTTAAAATGGAGTTGCTTAGGCTCAAGGCCCAAGGCCATGCTTACAGTGTCACAATACCTTCTATCAAATTAGTAATGAACACCCTTCCTTGATTTCTATCATTCTCCTTGGTTATGGAAATACATGAGGTTTAGAAAGAAGGAAATTAACTTGCCTTTTGACATTGAGTTGGAAGTATCTGTGGTACCTCTGGATGTAGTAATCATCTGAAAATGGAAAATGGAGCTCCTGAGAGAAGCTAGGATGTCTGATTAAACCACAGAACCATCAAAATGTAAACAGTCATTTAATCTGAAGGACAGAGTTGCTGTAGGGAGATATCTAAAGTTAGAAGAAGCCTTAAGAGAATTGTTGTGAACCAAATCCTTGGTGAACTGGGAAAAAGAGGAGCCTGTGGTGAGAACTGAGGCCCAATCAGGAGTTCCTAGATGAATCAGAAATGTGACTAGATTAAACAGCAATCATTTACAAGCTATTTAAAGTCTGTCAGTCCTATATTTAAATGCTTTTCATGTATTAAGTCATTCAGATGTTACAACAACCCTTTGAGGTAAGTAGTATTATTTCCATTGTGAAGACAATGAAACTGAAGCACAGAAATTTAAACAATATTGACATAGTTAATGCAGGTGGTAAGGTTTGGAGCCAGCCTCAAGTGAGGCAGTCTAGCTGCAGAACCTGTGTTCTCAGCCACCTCATTATATTCTCTCTCAAGAAGCTAAGCAAGGAGACAGTTTCAAAAAGAGAATAGACCATGGAATTAAAGGAAAAAAAAACTTAAATCAAATTAAATTTAGCAGAGTGTATAAGAACAAAGAACAAGTCATGAAATGGGTAGCGTCCCAAACCAGGCAAGATTCAGAGAGTTCCACCCAGGCAGGCAGCATTTACAGAAACTAGACATTGGTAAACAGTTCATAAAATATCCTGATGCTTTCTATCAAAATGTTGAGTCAGACTCATTTGATATATATGTCACCTACAAAGAACTGAGGATAGATCCTCTAATATTGCCAGTTAGAAATAAATGATGTAAGGTTATTTCATATTTATTTAAATTTAGGACATTTATTCAAATAATTACTCAATGTTAGGATGGCCTTAGGCCTGAGCCTAAGCAACTCCATTTTAAAAACTCCCGTTTGAAACCTGCAGTCTCACTAGGCACACCCACAGAGCTATTCAGTGTGGCCTCAAACAAGTGACTTCCCCTCACCCTGATAAACAGAGTGAAGCCCCTGGCAGGCTGTTGATGCCTGATAAGAGGAAAAGGCGAGAAGATCAGGGTGGAGACCACCAGACCAGATGTTTCTGACCCCAGGGTAAATGATGTCACTGAGAAATCCAGTGGTAGCTGATAAGGATTGAAGCAAGGGGGGGGGGGAATCAAAAGTCCCAAAATTTAGAATAAATAATAGAGCCAGTGAACAGGGATTTAGCCAGCCGAAACAAGGATGCACTCGAGCTGGAGAGCCTGATGAGGACCTGACATCCCATCACTTGTCATCATTCCTGAGCCTCTGGGTGATCTTCACCGCTCTTAAACTCTACCACCTCGCCTGGACCTTGGTGAGAGCCGCAACTTCTCCCTACAACCCTCTCCTCAACCGATTGTCCACTCCACCCCAGGAAAAGCCTGCCTTGGTTCCAACCTGATCACCGCAGTCTGAGTGTGCATCTGCTGGACATAAAACCTAAGGCTTAAGACTTTTGAACTTAGCTTGCAGAGGGAATGTCTGTCATTAGCCTATCATGATTAAGTGTGTTTTGCAGTGCTTAGATTAATCTAGAATTGTTTGCTGTGAATTAATTAATCTAGAATTGTTTGCTGTGAACTGATTATGTCTATTGCAGTTCCTAGCATTAAGGATTGTCATTTTCTTGATTAAGAACCTATAGAGTGAAACCGTATTGAGTATTTTGAGTGAATAAAGCATTGAAAGAGGCAGAAGCGCGTGGACATTCTTTATTTTTCCCCTCGACTGCATACATCTCAATTTTGCCCCCTCGTGATACTCAAGTGTCTTCTAATAACATTTACGTGGAAAATTGTGGGGCTTTAGTTTGTTTGGCTTTGGCTTCCTTCCTTCCTTCCTTTTTTTCTCCTCTCTCTAGTGTGCGCTCGCTCTCTCTCACTCTCTCTCTCTCTCTTTTTTTTAGTAGTGGGATCAAATGTAGAATTTTGTGCATGCTAGGCAGATGTTCTATCACTGAACCACACCCCCAGCCCTGAAAATTAAATAACTCAACAGGTCAGCTATTACAAGAAGTATTAATATTTTTGCCATTATCCTAATCCTAACCAAAAGAAGTTTTTTTTGTTGTGCTTGCCTATAATACAGAATAAGGGAGATGAGGAAAACCACCTTAATGCATTTTGTAGTTCATTTCTAAATGTTAAATATCAATTATCATTGTTTTACCTAAATTCTAAAGTATGTTTTAAAGGAAATTTGGAATTACTTTTCTATTCAATATTCAGAAGAGCATTTTTTTCTTTTTCTTTTTGGTACTAGGGATTGAACTCAGAGCACTCAGCCACTGAGCCCCATCCCCAGCCCTATTTTGTATTTTATTTAGAGACGGGGTCTTTCTGAGTTGCTTAAGGCCTCCCTGTTACTGAGGCTGGCTTTGAACTCATGATCTTCCTGTTTCAGCCTCCCAGGCTCCTGGGATTTCAGGCATGTGCCACTGCGCCTGGCTCAGAGGAGGATATTTTTGATAGACCAGGATATGACAATTTGACAATAAATGGGATGGATTAAAAATTTTTATACATTTAAGTAAGATATATGAAATTATATTGTTCTTTTCAATAGCCAATATCCAATACGTCCATTTAGATACAACTTTGATTAAGTACATCTATACTAAACAATAAAAACTGCAATAATGGGCTGGGGTTATGGTTCAGCGGTAGAGCAGTCGCCTTGCATGTGCGAGGCTCTGGGTTTGATCCTCAACACCACATAAAAATAAATAAATAAAACAAAGATATTAATAAAAAAACTGCAATAAGTTTTAAAAATGATTCTTGGATAAAATCACTTCTAAATACTCATTCACAATGACATGAAAGGCTTCCTTAATCAGGTCAGTTATTTAAATTATTATTATTTAAATTTTAAATAATAGAAAACTACTCAAACTATCTTTAAAATATATATTATAAAGGGGAGAGAATTGAACAACAGCAGAGGAGGTAGAGAGGGAAGATGGG